TACAATCGGCCACAAAATTAGTTGAGACACTTTGCCCTAAAGGGCGTCTCTGACGTCTTGCTAACTTAAAAGGGGGGAAATAAATCTTTCCCTCCTCTACCCCCTCCATGCAACGTTGTGCCGCTATTCAAGCTACCTGTTGAAAACAAGAAAGACGCCAACTATGAATGGACAGGATAGGGGGCGGGAGGGGGAGCGGTACGGATTGTTTTGTTCTCCTAGATTGTGCCATTATCTCAACAATTTTGTCGCCGATTGTAACCTGCAAAGTAGGCGTATTTTGAAGTGCGAACGATGGTACTATCGCCGCTATCTTGGACATTGCTTTTAAGATGGCGCCCGCCATCAATGTACCTCTGAGCTTTCGTTAAAAAAAAAAAATCAATAAATAAAAATGCCTCCAACGCCTGCTCTGCAGGTTATGATTTCCCGAGAAACATCATCAGAAACGGACGTCAGTATTATTGAAAAAAAAAAATCGACAATTTTTCATGGTCGGTACAATTATCGACCATTGAAATGACATCAGAAGTTCAAAACTTGCAGCTCGCCTGCGGCTCGTGGTTCCACTTGACTTTTGAACATTTTGACATCATTTCTGTGATCGATAAGAGAATAGACCGTGGAAAATTGTTGTCCAGTTGTTATTCTCCATACAAAGGACACTGCATGTGAACATCTGTGAAGTTTCTGATCAAATTTGGGTTCTAAAACTATAGCAAGGTCAAGTTGATATTTACGGGGCTCGAGACAGGAGTAACTGTGGATCATATTTAGCTTGCCTACAATAAAATAATACGAACAGTTTACCGTATGTTGGAGCTTAGAGCTATCAGGGATTTTAAAATATGTAGTTGCAGTGAACGTCTAACAATCGTCAATTTGCTTGAACAGAGTATACTCAACGCCTCATGACTCCTTAAGAGGCTGTCCACGAGAAAACCATGCAAAACCATGCAGAAGGTGCTACAGGCTAGATCACAGAATTGGCTTATATTCTGTGAGTAAGTATACTTGGGTGCACTATTTTTAAATATGGTATGATTGGGGTCCAAGCTCCTTTCCTTTGTGTATACGAGGGGGGTCCCCTCGGGAGACCATTTTTACTGTTATGGAAGGTCGAAATTTCCTGAAGTTTAGTTGCCTTGATCACCAATAATATACGATGTGAGTGAAAAATGAGTAGCCGGCGGTCGAACTGAATGATTAAACTTCGACTAGACGTATAAACCAGAAACATTGAGACTTTTTACTTTTCGTGACCGTGTACTAACCGAAGGGCAGTTGAACGCTTTTCCAGAAGCTAGAAAAATATTGTATTTTTAAAATTACTTCTAAAATTTCTCGCAAACCTTTCAATAAATCTGATATGGGTTATGTCAAGAGAATAAGTTGGATTTTTGTTGTACGCTTTCAAAAATCTGGGTATTGTGAAATTATGGACACGTCAGCCTCGGAACTATGACAAACTATGAGCCAACACAATCGTTTTATGAAAAATAGCCAAAAAATATACGGAACAGGATACATAATTGATCGCTCAAAAACACAACATGGCACTTCAAAAACATACCTCTGTGACTAAGAAAGGCTGAAGGGAATAATTTTCCCGCTGTGATCTCAGTAAATCGTCTTTTTTCGACGAAATGATGTTACTTCGGCTTCGACGTGTAGCTGGAGAACAGCCGTAACCTGTCTCGTGAATATTTTCCCGCTCATAAAACGATCGAAAGTAACTTTCATTTCCAAAAAGCTATTTCTTTTGCTTGAAGGATGGAAAACATCTTTTTCGAACGTCTTCATGCGTCTTATGATGCGATAGAAACTACGTCTTTCAGACATGTGTGCATTTGTTTACAACCATCTTTGTTTCGAGCCCGCGAACCAAGCGGTCTGCGATTTTCCTCTATCTAGATTGCTTTGGCGGGAAAGCGCGAACCTTCAGTACAGCTGTAAAAACATTTGAATTCATACACGACGTTGTTAAACCTATATTGTAGAGACAGGGTCGTATTCGGGCTTAACATTTTCTTCTATGGCTGCAAGTCTAACTTGCTCGTTTTCGAAACACTCGTCGATACCATGTGGCAATTCGAAGCACTATCGTAACATCAAAGAGTACGTGCCACTCCGTAGTTGCAGGAGAGATATAACCAGTCACCTTCAACGGTTGAAAACATCTCAAGCAAACATCAAAGGTGAATGGCAACTGATACTTTTGAGAGCTGGGTTATTTGATGAAGATGGTGAAACGCTCACAATCTGTCCCCTGCACAGAGATATTTTTGGTACTATCTGGAATTCAAGTAGACCAGTTACAAAATGCCATCATCCACTTCATGGCCGAAGCAGGGCTAAGCCTGAAAGAGGGATTTCGCTGGACATTTCAAAAGAGATTCAAATTTACTGGGGAGTTCTCGTGCCCATTGGATCAGGTATTTGTGAACTGTGTGGTTTACTCAGTTTCCCTCTCTCTTCTTCCTTTCTTTTTTTTTCCAATACTTACTCATTCTGTTCTTTAAATTCTAGGTATATGCATCAGGTGCAGAAAATTACATTTAGAAGAAAGAGGGAAAAGAGAAACACAAATATTTCAGGTGAGTATATATTAACCTCAAAAGTGTTTCCGTTGGTCACACGATTTTTTTGTTTATTTGCAAATTTAGCAGCAAAGTATGAATTATGAGGAAACAAGTAACAAAGTCGCTGTGGTTACTATAGCAGTTCGATCCCTTACTTTTTACAAGAAAATCAGGCAGTTAGAGCCTAAGAAAGTATTGCATTATGCATCAGATAATTCCAGCTGCGCCCCCACGTGCTACTGCGGGGCATTTGCCCGCCTTATCAGTCCCGGCGGTGGGGCATTTGCAAATTTTGCGCCCCCCGGGGGCCGGGCATTTATTCGGGGCTATTCCCGAGTTTTTGACACGCGCGCGGTTTCCTATCAGAATACCCTAAACATTCCCGGGGCTTATATTTTTCAAAGGCTTATTTTTGGAGAGGCTTATATCGGAGGGACTTATCTACGGAAGGAAATTTGCGTTTCAAAATCGATTGGGCTAGCCCTATAGTTGGAAGGAAATTTACCGTTTTGGCAGGAGGTTTTGGCTTTGTTTTACTTTGTATTTGAGGGCACTTTTCCAAGTATAAGCCTCCAGGGGGCTTATATTCGGAGGGGGGATTTAACGGAGGGTTTTTTGCGTTACCGGTTTGGGGGGCTTATATTTGGAGGGGCTTATACATGGAAGGGCTTATTTATGCAATTTTATGGTATAACTACATAGAGGATATTACTGGAAAAAAAAGCAGATTAGCTCATCTATCAAGGACAGGGGGTTGTAAAGGCATGTTCTCGATTTTATGCATGCTTGTCAAGCCAGAATTACATAGCGCAACTCGGGAGCTATCGACGTGAATTAATGTTTTTTGGTAAGTGAATCAAATTTCTGTTGATATTATTTGAAGAACATCCTTTCATATTTATAACATATTCACAACATATAACTTTACAGGGCACTATTAATTCTAATGTCAATAATTTTATATTAATACTAAAACCATAAACTGGTACATATCGTCGCGGCGTGAAGTCTTAATTAGAATCCAATCACTATTACAAAGGAAGACGTTACTTGAAACAAAAAATCGCTCATTAAAATGTTTAAAACGGCACTATTCGACTGTGCAATCATTGAAAAATGTTACAGTGTTGACGGAGGACGGAGCATTTGCCCTCTTTTCTCGTCCCCACCCCGTGGGATTTGACAGCTCAAGAGTCTCCACGCCCGGGAATTTGCGATCCAAGGCAAAAAAAATGCCAATGCCCGAGGGTGAGCCGGGGGGCGCTGGGCGCAGCTGTTATTGACTGATGCATTATGATATTATTTATATCGCTCAGAGTTCTGCATAGCATCCCTCTCATCAATCCACTCGTTCTTTCATTTCTTCAATTCTTCACTCACCCACTTGATCGCTCAATCACATATTTTTTTCATTCATTCATTCTCCAGTATGTGCGTTCGTCCGTTCGTTCGTTAGTTTATTCCTTACTTCCTTTCCTTCGTTTGAACGTCATTCAATAAGTTCCTATTTGTAATATTTTACATTTACCAGGTGACATCCGAACACACAGGCGATGTTGAGAATCCTCCTTATCTGAAAAACTGATCTGAAAAACCACGTGGTGAGTTTCCTTTCAGGGACGCTTCCCCTACAATCCGTTGAACGGTATTGGGCTATTGCTGATCCTTTTATAAAAACTAAATTACGGTTTAAAATTCTCCACGCACATTTACAGTCATCTACCATGAATAATATTTTCCTTATTTTAATTAATTTTCGAATACCTCTCTTGAAATCATTTATTTTTTTCACCATTTTCTTTTCCTTCTATTCTTTTTCTTCTATTTTCAGGTGGAGTTTCTTTCGAAGTTCCTCTAGCAGTAAGTAAATGACTGAATCAAAAATAAACATTAATTCTTATTATCATTTAATTACGTCTTTAGGAACAGGCGGCTCCTTTGGATTCAGACCCTACCACTGAATTAGGCGACTTCATAAACGTTAGAGAAAATCGTCTTGTGGATGAGTGTCCGGTATGTTTATTTTTACTCATGCATTGATTTAACACTTATCATAAACGAGAGATTAGTTCACAGATATTAATCATCTACATTGCTCTTTATTTTTCTAGGCTGAATGTAATGAACATTAAGTGAGCATTGGTAGTCCTCTAGATGAGTCATTGCCAGAAGAAGACATTTCATATGAATGGTGTTCTACTCCATGTGTGAAATCGGGACTGAAAGCGGTGAATGAGTTTATCCGCTCAGCTCCTTCTGCTCGTGGTAGGGTAGATCCAGTGGTTCGTCAGTTGACTATACCTTGGAAGGAAGCTGCACCAAGCACACAGATATTACAGACAGAAGGGGAAAGAGATCGTTGAAGTGGCTCTGGATTGCCTTGCTCCAGGGCAAGCCATAGAATTACTTTCAGAGTTGATGAAACATATGGAGAAAAAAGAAAAGCAAAAGAGTGTAGATACTGATGTTAGCGAAATATCGCGCCTGATTAAATCAGTATTTGTAAACGATTACTCTAAAGCTCAACTTCAACTGCTTATTCCTGGAGTAAGCATGTGGGCGATAGATGAGACAAGAAGGCATGCCACTAAGGTGGGGGTGGGTAAACCAGTGCCACAGATGGAGGCCATTACACGCGCAAGACTGGATTCAAGCAAAGTAGACCATTTTCTAGATTTTATCAGCAGACCAAATTTCGTGCAAGATGTTGCCTACGGAACAAAAACGCTAAAATTGTCGAATGGGGAGAAGATGGAGATTCCAAACGTGGTTAGGACAGTTATTGCTTCAAGGATTGTGGAATTATACCAGCAGTACTGTCAGGAAAACGGTTTCCTCTCACATGGGAGGTCAACCCTCTTCAGTATTTTACAGGTACGTATCAAAACAAAATCACGATTCAAAATCAGACGAAGAGCGAAAATAAAAAAGAAAAAGTGAGTTTTTTTAAATTCTGTTATCTCATTTACATACCACGAAGATATCATTATATGCATTGTAGCTCATTGTGTCAGGTCTCTTAGTTTATACTGCTTCTTCGGCTTGATTAACTGAAAATTACTTTAGTCATATAGGTGGGGATTATAAAAGAGCAAAAGCTCTGGATGAGAAAAGCAGTGAAATATGAACACGAGGAGAAAAATATAACAAAACGTCATTATTGTATAGACTTGTGCAGCATCACAAAAGAAGTCTTTGGCAGGACTTGACAACATCGCTACAGAGGGATCGCAAGCCTTCGATACACTCGAAGACGTAGTAAACAGGCTAGGAAAGTTAGGTAAGCTCAGGTTGATTGAAGTTTTGTCCCGGGGAGGCCTGTATCTTCCCATTTTGTTTCTATATAATGCTATTTTTCACTGCACCCTTAACACTCAAACCACCCAACCTCCTAGGCCAATTTAATTTTTGGACTTTATATTTCTTGTTTAAGGTTTGTCGAAAACATTTTTTAAAAAGCATATATTTTATACTGTGCAATTTTAACAGAGGCCTCGCCTCTTAACTCAATGGAGTATATATGAGCGGCTTTATCTTAAATAGTAGTAATTAAAAAACGGAGTGGTAACATTAGCGTGCCTTTTTAAAGGTAAAAGTTCAGCCTGGGTTTAAGTGCTAAAGATCGCTTGAAAGCTGGTAAAAGCTACCTTAAGACAAACCTCAAGATCCGCGTTTCTGAAGAAAGCCAGTGTGCTGATCATTGCCGGGTGTTTGCGTTGTCTGACCCTGAAGATCATCTCTGTGAGCATGAGCACACGAAATCATGTCAAAGCTGTGACAATATCAAGAATGTTCTTGATGAAATAGAACTTGTATTGTCATCAAGAGACCTTCACTTCAGGTAAACGGTTACTGATACCATGTTTTATAGTCTTCTTCTTTCAAACCAAAAACCTAAACTTTCTTGCAGTCAAAACCAAAGAAAGAAGACAGATTTCTCCCCTAACAGATTTTGTCTTGTTCAGTTTATCGTTAATCGTTTCATTTTACACATGGAAAAAATTTCTTCACAGGATATCACGAGAAGATATATATTGTAATTTTACCTGATCATGAAGAGCAAGTTTTCTAATTGTCATATCTTAATCACCTTTTTTGCAATTGGAAATGGGTGGCTCAGGTGACTGAAATCTACAGTTGTGTAACTTCGGAGACAGTGCTGCGTTTACATCATTGAACAAAGGATCGGGAAAAATATACCGTGCAAAGACAAGCAAATGATGTCGCCCTAAAACGTCAAGAAATTATAATTACAGCTTTGATAATAGAACGAAATCATTTTTTATTTTGCTTTTTAGATATCAAGACGAAAAGGAGGAATAGAGCATGACATTAGTAACGCTATAGACAGGATTGAGCGATGGAAGGCCCACATCACAGATCTGACAACTGACATCTTCCTTTCATAGCAAGATTCGTCAAAATGTGCAGAACATAACGAAGCATACTTCGAGGTCGGGTCTTTATAATCATGCCTATGGCGACGCACAAATTGCACCCATTGAGCTCTTACAGACGGATCAGATGGAAACTCGTGCATACGTATTCCAGGCGTAAATGTCGTATTTTTACAACTTCGCTGGTTTGGGGTTCCAGCGGCGCAATATCGCCCTCCTCTTCGCGTCGCTTTCGGTGTTTTCGAGCTCTCCGCCATAGTTGCTTTGTTTGAATGATTCAAGATGCAACCAAAATTACGTAATTTACGTCATCAGCATAAAGTCACGTGGTAATTTGACCGCGCGATTTGAAGACCATTTTCTGGTACGAAACAGGCCAACTTCGATCGCTTATAAAATCGGCAGTTTTTACTCAAAACATCTCAAACTTTGGAATCGAGAATTTTAAATGATAAAGATTTTAACTGACTAAAAATAATTTTCGGTTCATATGCACTTTAAGAGCAGTACACCAGGACGTAGCAAAGGATGATATCCTCACCAATATGACGCCAGAGCAAGCTTTAATTATCATGGATTGGGTAATGAAGTTCCTTCCTTTGAAGTATAGGGAAACGCAAGGAGAGAGGTTTGGAAAGAAAGGCCTCTCTTGGCATGTCACAGCCGTGATAACAAAACCGAAGGAAGATTTTGAGGTATTTTCTACAGGCATATCCTACATCTGACTATGGGCATATCCAAAAACGTTTCAGTTTCAGATATTGTAGTAGACGAATTTGTGTCCTAATTAGAAGAAATGCTGAGTTTTCTTCTTACTCCCTGAGTAACAGTAGAGTTATCCACATTCACTTGCTGTGCAAAATACGTTAAATGCAACTATAAATTAGGTATTGACAGTGGAGGTAGGTCCACATTCTACTGAGAAAATAATCTCTTGAAATCTTTAGCTATGAAGTGCAGGAAGATAAGTGGCATAGTTATAGTCAGTGGATGAAACAACAAGTGGACAACAGATAGGATTACCAGAAGAGTAGGTATTCAGTGAGCTTTCCTGTTGTACTTTATTTAACGTCATGGAGCCGATACTGTAACATTATTTCTTATGTTCGTATGTATAGGTAAGGACATACGTTCATCTGCTGGATCACTGCAGCCAGAACTGGTTTGCTGTTGCATCTATTTATGAGAACACGCTTATGGAAATAAAGAGGAAGTCACCTGAGATTGTCGAGGCGTTTGCACGTAGTGATAACGCTGGATGTTATCACTGTGCTCCTTTATTGCTAAGTATCCCTGGTATTAGTCAACGTACAGGTGTAACTACAAGCCGATACGACTTCAGTGAATCAAACAGTGGCAAAGATATATGCCATTGCCATATTTCTCCTTTGAAAAGTCATATACGCCAGTACGTCAATGCAGGAAATGATGTCGAGAAGGCAAAAGATATGAAGAAAGCAATAGATTCTTACTCCGGAGTTAGAGGTTGCCGTGCATCAGTTGTAAAGGTGGACGCTAGCGCACAGGATCTGCATAATCACAACTGGAACGGAGTACTGATGTTTTCAAACTTCAAGTTTTGCGCAGACGGAATCAGGATGTGGAAAGCCTTCAATGTTGGAGAAGGAAATTTCGTTCGTTACGATAAGCTAATGAAGAGAGGGACCAGCCAGGGAAGTACCCGATTGGAGGTTATTGAGCCGTTCACATCCCCGCGTGTGTCGACTGGCTTCTTGTACAAAAACAGCAAAACGACGGAAAACAAAAGTGAGCCTTGTGAATTCAGTTGCCCTTTACCAGGTTGCATCAAGTTATTCAAAACGACAACAGCGTTGCAAAACCACCAGGACTTTGGCAAGCACATTTTTTGCACCCAAAAGGATTCCACGCATGACAGTATTAAGCGTAAATGGGCTAAAGCATGCACCGACATACGCCCTTCATATATTCCATTAATAAGAACCTTGAAGGATTGAGCCAAGAAGAGTGCAGAGAGTACCCCACTGCTGAGCCTGGCTGGGCCTTGAAGAAAAACAAGAAGACCGGGCGATTTTCAGAACATGTCAAAGAGTACCTCCTTAAACTGTTTCTTGATGGAGAAGAGACAGGAAATAAGAGCGACCCTGCCGTTGTTGCCTCAAATTTGAAGTCACTTCGTGGACCAGATGGTGTCAAATTATTTTCTTCTAAAGACTGGCTCAGCGCGCAACAAGTTACATCATACTTTTCACGTCTCTCATCGGTCGCTAAGAGTGGAAAGCTTTCTTTAAACAAGAAGGCTGTAATAGAGGAAGAAGATATGCTCGATGCCCTTGTTGAGAGAGGAGAACGAGATTCCCTGCGAGAGAAAGTTTTTCACGTTGTGGACTTATAGAAGGAGCTTAAAAACCGTTGAAAAAAAGATGGGGCAGAGCCGATTAGCAGCTAGATAGGAGATACCTGTTACCACTGCACGTTATAACGTGTGCTCTCTAGGTCCACTTCATAATGAAAACTTTTTGTTGTAAACTAAAAATTTGTCCCATCTCCGCACACGGGGCTCTGCAACCAATTTTCAGGCCCCGGTTGTTCAAACGTTGGTATACGTAAGTACTATCCACCGGATAAATCAGTATCCAGCGGATAAGTACTAGGGAAACCAATTGCGTTATCCAATGGATAGAGTTTTATCCGGTGGATAGCGCTATCCAACGTTTGAACAACGGCGAACTATTTCTTTCTACGTTATGTGATATGGGAAGATGTCTTGGCTCTTATACATTGTATACAACGTACAGCTCATTATATCACCTTATAAAGCTTTAAAATCAATTTAAAAAAGAGCTTACCCATTGCCAGACAAAGCAAAAACAAAAGAACACTTCCCGTTGATTACACAATGGACTTTATTACCGCAGGTCAGTTTTTTATTGCAGGCGCATAATGCAATATGGCGGAAGAAAGAGCTGTGGTTGACTGTTGGGTATATACTTCATGGTAGAAAGCCACAAGTGCACCGGTAATATACACTCTGTGTATTATGTAGTATTGTGTCTTCTCCCTAATAGCTAGTGGTAGTTACTAGTAGTTACTAGTAGTTACTGGTAGTTACTGGTAGTTACTAGTAGTTACTAGTAGTTACTGGTAGTTACTAGTAGTTAGTAGTAGTTACTGGTAGTTGCTAGTAGTTACTAGTAGTTACTAGTAGTTACTAGTAGTTACTGGTAGTTACTAGTAGTTACTAGTAGTTACTAGTAGTTACTGGTAGTTACTGGTAGTTACTAGTAGTTACTAGTAGTTACTGGTAGTTACTAGTAGTTACTAGTAGTTACTAGTAGTTACTAGTAGTTACTGGTAGTTACTAGTAGTTACTAGTAGTTACTAGTAGTTACTGGTAGTTACTAGTAGTTACTAGTAGTTACTAGTAGTTACTAGTAGTTACTGGTAGTTACTAGTAGTTACCAGTAGTTACTAGTAGTTACTAGTAGTTACTGGTAGTTACTAGTAGTTACTAGTAGTTACTAGTAGTTACTAGTAGTTACTAGTAGTTACTGGTAGTTACTAGTAGTTACTGGTAGTTACTGGTAGTTACTAGTAGTTACTAGTAGTTACTGGTAGTTACTGGTAGTTACTAGTAGTTACTAGTAGTTACTAGTAGTTACTAGTAGTTACTGGTAGTTACTAGTAGTTACTGGTAGTTACTGGTAGTTACTAGTAGTTACTGGTAGTTACTAGTAGTTACTAGTAGTTACTGGTAGTTACTAGTAGTTACTAGTAGTTACTAGTAGTTACCAGTAGTTACTAGTAGTTACTAGTAGTTACTACTAGTTACTAGTAGTTACTAGTAGTTACTAGTAGTTACTGGTAGTTACTAGTAGTTACTAGTAGTTACTGGTAGTTACTAGTAGTTACTGGTAGTTACTAGTAGTTACTAGTAGTTACTGGTAGTTACTAGTAGTTACTAGTAGTTACTGGTAGTTACTAGTAGTTACTAGTAGTTACTGGTAGTTACTAGTAGTTACTGGTAGTTACTAGTAGTTAGTAGTAGTTACTGGTAGTTACTAGTAGTTACTAGTAGTTACTAGTAGTTACTACTAGTAGTTACTAGTAGTTACTAGTAGTTACTAGTAGTTACTAGTAGTTACTAGTAGTTACTAGTAGTTACTAGTAGTTACTAGTAGTTACTAGTAGTTACTAGTAGTTACTAGTAGTTACTAGTAGTTACTAGTAGTTACTAGTAGTTACTAGTAGTTACTGGTAGTTACTAGTAGTTACTGGTAGTTACTAGTAGTTACTAGTAGTTACTGGTAGTTACTGGTAGTTACTAGTAGTTACTAGTAGTTACTAGTAGTTACTGGTAGTTACTGGTAGTTACTAGTAGTTACTAGTAGTTACTAGTAGTTACTGGTAGTTACTAGTAGTTAGTAGTAGTTACTGGTAGTTACTAGTAGTTACTGGTAGTTACTAGTAGTTAGTAGTAGTTACTGGTAGTTGCTAGTAGTTACTAGTAGTTACTGGTAGTTACTAGTAGTTACTAGTAGTTACTGGTAGTTACTGGTAGTTACTAGTAGTTAGTAGTAGTTACTGGTAGTTACTAGTAGTTACTAGTAGTTACTGGTAGTTACTAGTAGTTAGTAGTAGTTACTGGTAGTTACTAGTAGTTACTGGTAGTTACTAGTAGTTACTAGTAGTTACTGGTAGTTACTAGTAGTTAGTAGTAGTTACTGGTAGTTACTAGTAGTTACTGGTAGTTACTAGTAGTTAGTAGTAGTTACTGGTAGTTACTAGTAGTTACTAGTAGTTACTGGTAGTTACTAGTAGTTACTAGTAGTTACTAGTAGTTACTGGTAGTTACTAGTAGTTACTGGTAGTTACTAGTAGTTACTAGTAGTTACTGGTAGTTACTAGTAGTTACTGGTAGTTACTAGTAGTTACTAGTAGTTACTGGTAGTTACTAGTAGTTAGTAGTAGTTACTAGTAGTTACTGGTAGTTACTAGTAGTTACTAGTAGTTACTGGTAGTTACTGGTAGTTACTAGTAGTTACTAGTAGTTACTAGTAGTTACTGGTAGTTACTAGTAGTTACTAGTAGTTAGTAGTAGTTACTGGTAGTTACTAGTAGTTACTGGTAGTTACTAGTAGTTACTAGTAGTTACTGGTAGTTACTAGTAGTTACTAGTAGTTACTAGTAGTTACTGGTAGTTACTAGTAGTTACTAGTAGTTACTGGTAGTTACTAGTAGTTAGTAGTAGTTACTAGTAGTTACTGGTAGTTACTAGTAGTTACTAGTAGTTACTGGTAGTTACTAGTAGTTAGTAGTAGTTACTGGTAGTTACTGGTAGTTACTAGTAGTTAGTAGTAGTTACTGGTAGTTACTAGTAGTTACTGGTAGTTACTAGTAGTTAGTAGTAGTTACTGGTAGTTACTAGTAGTTACTAGTAGTTACTAGTAGTTACTGGTAGTTACTAGTAGTTACTAGTAATAGTAATAAACTGCTTTATTTGCATGACCGCATCATTTTACAGTATTGCAAAAGCATGTATATGACAATCAAAATATAAAACAAAACAGCACTAATAATAATCTAGAAAAATTCGGTTACATTACTAACAATGAATCACGTAATTTCATGCAGGAGGAAACAAACTTCATAACTAACTTATTTACATGATGTTCCTTCGAATTCATTATCAGTTTTATGCTTTCTGGAGATGATTTCTTGTCAAAGTCAGGTATTATTCGATTGATTTCATTAATAAATGCCTGTCTCTGTACTGAGTATTTGTTACATTGAAAGAGGAAATGAATCTCATCTTCTACCTGATTTGAGTTACATAAAGGACATAATCTATTTTCTCTTGGCAAATGATCGATTTGGTATCGACCATGTTCAATCATAAGTTTGTGATTACTTATTTTAAATTTAACAAAATTCTGTCGTTCGTCATAATGTCTTAGCTGGTAGAGATAATCAGATGTACAATATTCATCTTTAAAAGTTTTATGAAATTGTAGTTTTTTTTTTTAGTTCTAGTAGTTACTAGTAGTTACTGGTAGTTACCAGTGGTTACTGGTAGTTACTAGTAGTTACTAGTAGTTACTGGTAGTTACTAGTAGTTACTGGTAGTTACTAGTAGTTATTAGTAGTTACTGGTAGTTACTAGTAGTTAGTAGTAGTTACTGGTAGTTACTAGTAGTTACTAGTAGTTACTAGTAGTTACTGGTAGTTACTAGTAGTTACTGGTAGTTACTAGTAGTTACTAGTAGTTACTAGTAGTTACTGGTAGTTACTAGTAGTTAGTAGTAGTTACTGGTAGTTACTAGTAGTTACTGGTAGTTACTAGTAGTTAGTAGTAGTTACTGGTAGTTACTAGTAGTTACTAGTAGTTACTAGTAGTTACTGGTAGTTACTAGTAGTTACTAGTAGTTACTGGTAGTTACTGGTAGTTACTAGTAGTTACTGGTAGTTACTGGTAGTTACTAGTAGTAACTAGTAGTTACTAGTAGTTACTGGTAGTTACTAGTAGTTACTAGTAGTTACTAGTATAGTAGTAGTTACTGGTAGTTACTAGTAGTTACTGGTAGTTACTAGTAGTTACTAGTAGTTACTGGTAGTTACTAGTAGTTACTAGTAGTTACTAGTAGTTACTGGTAGTTACTAGTAGTTACTAGTAGTTACTGGTAGTTACTAGTAGTTAGTAGTAGTTACTGGTAGTTACTAGTAGTTAGTAGTAGTTACTAGTAGTTACTGGTAGTTACTAGTAGTTACTAGTAGTTACTGGTAGTTACTAGTAGTTAGTAGTAGTTACTGGTAGTTACTGGTAGTTACTAGTAGTTACTAGTAGTTACTGGTAGTTACTAGTAGTTACTAGTAGTTACTGGTAGTTACTAGTAGTTGATGGTAGTTTTTGGTATTTACTAGTAGTTAGTGGTAGTTATTAGTAGTTACTAGTAGTTACTCGTAGTTACTAGTAGTTACTGGTATTTACTAGTAGTTA